CTCTGTAGACCAGGCTGGCCTCGAACTCACAGAGATCCGCCTGGCTCTGCCTCCTGAGTGCTGGGATTAAAGGCGTGCGCCACCACCGCTCGGTGACAAACCGGTTTCTTAAGGAACTCCTAGAGCAGTGTTTCTCAACCTTCCTAATGTTGTGACCCTTTAATACAGTTCCCCTTGTTGTGGTGACCCCCCCCCATTATAAGATTATTTTCATTGCTACGTCACACCTGTAATTTCACTGCCGTAAGGCTAATATCTGATATTCAGGATGTGATCCCTGTCAGAGGGCTGTTTGACCCCCACGAAGGGGTCACAGCCCACAGGTTGAGAACCAATGGCCTAGAGCCTGATGAGAGGCCATAGAGACTATACCGTCTGAGCATCCATTGAAGGAGCTGCAGATAAATAGCCAGAAGCAGACAGAGAATCCACGAGCCTTTCCTGAGTGTGAAAAAAAAAAACTGCCATGGGATAAAAGAGGCAATGCAAGTCCAGACACCAACACTAGTGTGGCAGGGGCGTGGCCCAGCAGAGTTCAGTTCACACTTGGTGTGCACAGTCTCACAGAGGCAGCACGCTCCGTGTTCAAGCCCAGCTGAGCACTTGTAGGCTGAGGTGGAGAGCAGACTCCTACCCTGAGCAAAGCGGTCCAGCAGAGAAGACAGCAGATGTCCAGCCCATAGCTAAGATTTCAGGGTCGAGGGCTGAGTCCCAGAGAGTGGAAGTGAGAACCAGCCATCTCCCAAGAGGCTGGGCCGCCAGGGTTTGTGTCTGTCCGTCCGTCCCCTTGGTGAGACTCACCCCTGGCTGAGGCTCAGCTGCTCCTGGTGCTGTCTGAACTGCTTATTTCTCATAAATACCCTTTTGCCCAGCTCCAAGGATGATGTCACGGCCCAAGCAATGGAGGGCGATTACGTGCCCGTCACCCAGAAGCTCTGCCTGCTGCCTTTTCCTGTAGGCAGCAGCTTCCTTGAGGACCATCTTTCCAGCTAGGCAGAGGGGAGGTCGGGGGGTGGGGGGTGGGGGGTGGGGGGGCAGAGAGATCAGGCCAGCCCAGTGAAGACTCTGAGCTCCTGGGGAGACACTTTGTAGCCTGGGAGAAAAACCAGAGGTAATTCCCTGTGGGAACCGGCCACTGTTGTCTAAAATGGACCACCCTCAGCACAACAGACATTGCCAGGAATTCCCCCAATGTCTTTTTATAAACCCTCCCTGTCTGCTGAGCCCACCCAGGCCTGCAGGCAGCTGTTTCCAGTTTTCCAGCGGTTGTTACAGCTGGTGCCCCCTCCCCCACCTGCCTGCCCCTGACCACCTGCAGAGAACACCCCCAAGTCCCCTCAAAGAGGGAGGGAGCACTCCACTCGAAGCCGGCCTGGGACTAGGCCTTGAACTCTTGGCAGTCCTGCAGGCCGTGGCCCTCGGCCTCTGGTGGCCTCTAATAGCCCACGCTGCCCAGTGCTGCTTGGCAGCCGGGACAATGGCAGTTAAAAGCCCTCAAAGCTGCCCTAATTACAGCTTCCTCCTCCAGGCACGGAGCATGTCCTCAATCATGTCAGCCAGTTCCTGGGGAGGGGGCACCCCTGGCGTCAGTCAGATCCACATAGTCAGAGAAGCGGGCAGACAGACAGACAGACGGACGGACGGGCAGAAGGACAGGTGGCTCACCTGGACATGGACGCGGCCCCTCCCCAGGAGTGGAAACGATTGAACAGGGTGCTTGGGTCTCTTTGCAGAAACACCCTGTGACTCACGAGCGAACACATAATTAGCCTCGAAGCCCTGGGCTTTGCTGGTTGGGAGCTGGGCTTTCTTGGACCAGTCCCATCATTCCTGTTCACTAAACACAGTGTTCCCTGGAAAGAGACTTCTGAGGGGCGCCAGGGAGACCCCTCTTCTACAGTAGTCTTGACGTTAACAACCGGAGCTTAGGTAAACACTGCAGGCCTCATGTCCCCTTCCGTAAAAGTTTCCGAAACTCTTGGAGCGCTAGTGTGGTTTCTGCTGAGGGC